ACTCATTGCAATAGACAGGAATAGAAATAATTTTGTTGCAAAAAATTTTAAAAAGCCACTTGATGCAATTGGGAAAACAAGGACATGAAATGTAAAATAGTTTTGTTCTTCCTAGGACTAGGCCTGCTGCACTCTTTACAAAGCGTCCATATGGCATCCAATAGCATACAACAGATTGATCAGAATGATTTTCAAAACTGTTCACAGCTGAAGGACATCGACTTGCAAAACAACAGGATAACTAAAATTCATCCAGATGCCTTCAGGAATCTCAACAAATTACAGGTTGTAAAGCAGGATTACAACTGTTTCAATGGTTTGTGTTCATCACCATTCAAGATATTACCAGCTATTCAGCATGATTATATTGGTCTTTGATTATTATATTAGTATATAATTATAAAACCTAAAGCAAGTGGTGAAAATAATCATTATTTTTATGTATTTGCTTTTCATATATAGGAAAACACACACACTTGTAAATATACAAAATATAACCATAAATTCAGCATTTATCTATGCCACAAACAAATCCATAACTGGCTTAAACACACACACGTCCCTCTACCCCCATCCCTTCCATGGCAAGAGCCTTGCAGCTTCCCATTCACACAGAGGTAGTCTACAACAGCAGAATTCTAAATATACCACAATTTAAACCTCTCATTTAAATTAAAAAGCTTAGAACAATATTCTTGAAGTCCTAACCAGATGTATTGTTCCCATATACAAGCAAAAGTGCCTGTATACTAAAATAAATGTTATTGTTGCTATTGCCATTAGGATTCCATTGTAAGGCTTATCAAATTCTGAATTATTTCCAAATAGGTTGTGGACCTCCGTGAAAACACTCTGACCACCCCTCTACCACAGATATTAATCAGTTTGAACTTTTTTCAACTTGAAATGGATTTATCAAATAATGCCTGGATATTCAACTGCAGACAAAATGCTTTCAAACACTTCTTTCATTTTGTTTTTGACTCCATGAGGAAAAAATTGAGTATTTCATATAATAAATCTGCCAGCAACTCACAGAAACCTCTGCTGTATCTTTCAAGTTTTCATTTAAACTGCAGTGACAGCGTTTTGCTCAGGAAGGCTGTAATCCCAACAGGGAAGACATCGGTGCTAAACTGTAACTTGGACAACAGGAGGGGTATGTAAGACAGCGACTCCATCCGTATGCTGCTAAAATCCAAGTGCGTGCAGAATGATCAAAGAAATCTGGTTTTAAAAGTGGATTTCTAAAGACAGTGTTTAAAAATAACTGGACAACAATTTAACACGCAAATTATTTCATTAGAAAGTAGTATACCGGTTAGAATATTTGAAAGTCATGTTTCCCAAAAAAAGTCTTCATCTCCTTCTTTACATTGAACTAATAAGTGATGCCAAATTATACACAAATAAATTTCAACACGTAGTATGTTGCAAATTTATCAGTTAATTTTGGAATGCAAACAAAGGACCAAATAGTGGGGTGGCACTTCTGGGGCATGTAGAACACTGAGAAGGACACAGTAGTGTTTCTAGCGTTCAGGTTCAGCAAAGTGAAATGGAAGTTTATTTGCAAGGGAAAGCATTTATATTTCTTCTAAAAAAGTACAGCTACTGTAGCACACAGTTCACTTTTAGGAAATGAATTCAGCATTTACAATTAATGCAGAGCACTTGAAGTACAAGTGACAAAAATCTACAGAGCTAAGGCTTCCCACGCAGAAGGAAAACTAAGACCAAACTTAAGAGTAGGTGGTGTATTTGTCATGTGCCATAAGGCAAAATGGTTTAACTCTAATGGACTAACAGCACTTTGAGGTGGTAAGGCCTTCCCCGTGGCACAGTTTATCCCCAAATGAAAGTATGTGGGGTCTATCAGAAATGCCACCTGCTTTGTCTATTAACAAGGAAAGTCACGGAAACTCTGATCATGGGATTAAAATCAACACACTGGATTGCACCAAAACTCAACTAGGAACACAAGCAGATCCAAAGGCAAAGGCGTACATACAACCTTGACAGGTATTCCAAAAGCCAACAACCAGCCATGGCCTACACTAGCTAAAGATTGGAACAATTGCTTGGTAGATACAAATATCCTTGGTTTTCAAACCTTTTTGCTGCAGTCCAAGCAGTAACTACAGGAAAATCACAGTGGTTGAAACACTGACAGTTAACTGGGGAAGTTTTATCTCACAGCTACACACCGTGACCACGGCCACGCTGGATAACAGCTGGCTATAAATACATATTTTCCACGAGGGAGATCAGGAGGTGTTTCTAGTATGACCCCAGACCATCCTTAGATAATTTCAGTGACCTCCTCCCTCACCCACACCATTTTTCTCATAAAGTCTACTATTAAGACCCCATACGTACTGTGTTTTACATGGGGGGGGGGGGAGGGGGGGGACACGGACGGACGACACGACAGAATATATGATGGTTTAACACTTGGTACCATGTAACACGACTATGGATGGGTACAGAGAAAATGGATTTTATAATAAACAGTTAAAATTACCAAAGATAGGTCAGAGTATGTTCTTATAGAAATAACTTGACCCTGCAAACCAAGTATTCTATACTTTTAAGAAAGATTTAATTTGTATTTTCTTTTATTTCAGGTAATGGAGTCTCTTGGTGGACACCCAAAGGGAAAATTTCAAAAGATAATAGTATTCCTCATATGACACTGGATAAAATGAATAATTTAGTGATATACAATGCTGAGAAAACTGCTGAAGGGTTATATTTGTGTGTTTTTAACACAACAAAGAAGAAATACCTCATCTACAATATACAGGTGAAAGAAAGGATTTCAACATTTTTGGTTAGAAAAGCCCGAGACACTAACGCTGTTTTTAGACAAGGAAGAACAGAGCAAGACTTTGCACTGGCTGTCTCCCTCTCCGTGCTCGTTACGTTTGTTTGCGCTTTTTGTCTGGGTGCCTTCGCTAGACCCTACCTCATGAGCCTGTGGAGACTCATGCACAGGAACAAAAATTCAGGTTCAGAACATACTTATCCTAATCAAGCTTTTTCAGATGAAACTTTGAGCAGGGAATGCTCTGCAAGCAAACCAACAAATACACAGCATAACTTGTTCAATTGTGATGATAAGAATTCTTCAAGAAACACATGCATTTTTCCTACAGAAACTTGTACTTTGCATGAAAATGTCATTGGTAGCAGCGTACATGCACCAAATGCTGAAGAAGAGTACCAGAAACAAAGCAATAATGAGATCAACGTGAAGGAAAAACCAGTATTTTCAGACATCAAAACTAGTATCAGCAATGATGAAAATATAAATGTTGATGGTAATGGACTGTTTTCTCTAAGGACAGATTACAAGAACAGCAATGAAGTAACCCCAAGAAAATTAATGAGTAATGACATTTCATTATGGAAAGATTCAAAATATGCAAATAATGAAGACTCAGAGAAGAGCATGTTCCCTCCCACGCCCAGAAGATTGAATGCTGACTCTTACTCAAATCACACTGACTCTTCCGACTCAGATTTATCCTTCACAGGAGAAACTGGCTTTCCGTTTTCCACCATACAAAGACATACAGTTGCACAAGATTCTAGGAACAGCAAGGTAAGCAACAACTCTGGTCTGCTGCAGTCTGAAATCACAAAGGCTACACCAGCTTCTCCTGAGAGAAAAGGTATTGTCTCACATAATGAGCCCATGAGCACTACAAAATTTATGACTGGAAGGCAAAGCTGTGATAAACAACTTGGTCTAAACGGCAACATAAATACAACCAGTGATATGGGAGATTTTATTTTACCCAGTAGCTGCGAAAGAAATACAAATATTGAGAATTTAAGTGTCTACCAAACAACCGAAAACTGTCCTCTTACAGACTATGACTGTAAAACGGAACGTACAAATGAAAAAGATGCTTCAGCAGATATATTTGGCGATAGTTCTTCAGATGAAGGGACTCCATTCACAATGAGCGACTGTAGTTCTTTAGCGGACTTTGAACTGGAACAACCTGATGTTAGTGACAACCTGCCGGTCTGTCAGTCTACACTACAGGAAGCCGATACAAACAGTGGAAACGAGAAGTTCTCAACCCTGCCCGAGTCTCCAAACATCGCTGCTGAACTTCGGTATATTGGGAAAAATGAAGACAAGAGCAATGCGTATTTTGAAACCACTATGAACTGTGGATCAGATACCATCATGCCTGAAACAGCATCACCTTATGCAGATAGATGCAGTGGCCACATAAGCATGTCAGATTCAGACACAATTAGTTCTTCAAGTCAAGAAGTTCCTGATACGTTTGATTATTTTACCAATGCAGAGTCAACAGTACAAAACTCTATTTCTGGTTCTCTCCACAATCGAAGTACAGATTGTGGTAATACTTCACTTTTGTTAAAACATTCTCCCACATGTGACACAGATAAAGAGTACACTCCTGAAGAGGCTGAATTGCAGCTGTATCAGTTTCCCATTGAACCACAGCATCCCCTCAGCTTCAGTCCCACCGAACAAAAAGCAAATGCACCAGAGGGAAGTGCAGATGAGCACACAGACAGCAACTCCTCTGAAGAGAATCATGGTGAAGGGGACATTACATTAAGAACAAACACGAGTACATCTGAGGGCAATGATTTTATTTTTGCTCCCATTGATATCGGTTTGAATGAAATTGTTAAAACAACATCGCTACTGCATTCCAGCAGTGAATCATCTCTTCCATCTCTGCCTGAACACACAGCTGAAAAATATTTTATGGTTATTACAGAGAAAGAAGACGTGCTGCCACAGGGGAAGCAGGTGAACACAACTATGGCTTGTGCAGATGAAATGCAAAGAGGTTTTAATGAGAAAAACTGTGATGGATACACAGAATTACAGGATACCAGCAACTGTAGTCTGCCCGAAGAAACGCAGTCTTGCAATCTTACAGCAGATTTGCTGCATCTTCACTCTTCTGGGAAAGCACTATCGGTCTTCAGCACAGAAGGTAATTTCCAACTGGATCAGAGAGACGAGGATGCATGTTTCTTCTCAGTCCCACAAGGCTTCTTCAATGAAAGCACACGATACAGTTCCCATTCATTCCCACAAAAGACTACAGGAAACATAATCTCCGAAAACACCGATTCCAGCAAGACAGAGAATGACACTACTTTGACAGGACTGGAGAACAATTCTACAACAGCTGTCAACCTCCAAAATTCAAGTGAAAAACTTAGCCAAAAAAATCAGACCAATTTAGGACAGGGCCAGGTTTTTGTTAAGAAGAAAAGAGCATTTGATGGATTTGCTAATGTTTTGCAAAGCAGGAGAACAAACTTTAATAGTTGAAGACACAAAAGTGTAATACTAAGCTCCCACAGTGTTTACGGCATATAGTAGGCACAAAAATGATTGTGTCTTAAGATGAAGTGTGTAGCTTTTAATAACTATTAATTGCCATGGGTTGTTCTGGGATCCCCCCTCCCCTTAGTACAACTGTCCATCTGCCTTTAACTTCAGAAATCCAAGTCATGGAACAAGACTTAACAATGAGATGTATAAAGCCTGAATCCATCCAATTTAAAAACACCGTAATTCCAAAGGGTAATTCGGGCCAGAAGCCATGGACTTTTGTTTAGAAGCATACCTGCTAAAATTCAAGAAGAGCTTTTATGAAAAACAACTCTAGAATACTCGAATGAGTGAACTACTCAGTAGTTGTAACTGATAATAAAGCTTTTGGTGAGTTATATATATTTAATTTCTCACTATTGTTGGCACTAAGATACTAGTTTCCCTTAGAATTTGCCTGATACGCACTGTTTTGTTTCTCTTTGTCTAAAATAAATAACACTGAAATTGTCATTACATTATTACTATTGTTGTTTTCCTGTGTGACTCAGCCCATACAGTGAAATAGTACGTATTACTGTCTTCTGCTTTTTGAACAAAATTTGTGAATGAAGTGTCTCTGAATTCCCACAGCTTTGCAAAGATAGGTAAAGTCCAAGTAGTATTCAATTACATTTTAAAATTACTTTTTAACTTGGCAAGACAGAGTAATGAAACCCTTCTTTCTCAAAGAAACAGAATTGAATTCAAACCTTGCAGAAAAGTCAGTTCTGGAGATCTAGCTACTGATGGAACATCACCTGTAGCTGGCAGATGTGATGACATGGGCAGGGTAATTTATAAAAAGACAACCTACTGTTACTAAGCTCTAACTCCCTATAAAAAAAGGATCCTATACCCACTTCAGAATTTTACTGAGGGGCAAATCAAGAGCAGCTCAAAACCACTGTATTAGAATATCAATAGCTTGATATACCATAACTTTTTCTAAGCTAAAAGATAACAAATGTAAGATAAAATTTTCTCTGAATATGGCCTAAGGCCCTTTTAACATACATGGTCTCATTGATGTAGTCCTTGAAGGGGAACAGGCCCAGGTTCCCAGAACGTGCAGGAGGCGGGCCAACAACTCTGGGAAAACTCCGTTATGAAGGCACAATTAATTCACTAAAAACTCTGAACAGAAGGAACACGTTTCAGTTCCAGCAGACGAGGAGCAAGTCCATTGGCACAGTACACCTTTGAGACTATCTTTAAAGAGAAAGCTAGGAAAAAACAAAGAGATGCTGACAAAAGCTAGTAATTTTTGTTAGCTTCACATATTTGGAACTGAAAAAAAAATATTGCAAAAAACTTAAGAAACAAGTAAAAACAACTGAAGGAGACCAGTACTGATATTACCTGATCTTTCGAAAAACATTTTCTTTAGCGCCTTGAATTCCTTTTAAATAACAGTTTTACGCATGTAGCATCACAATTATCAGTTAAGTATTTACTGAGCCAAGTCACCTATGCTTAGATCTCCTACTGGTTTGGTTTGGGTTTTTTTTCTGGCTGCCCTTCTCAAAATTCTAACACAACTCAGAATAGATTATACAGCAGATTCAGGTAGGTGTTGCGTGGATTTGATTTGGGTCACCACAGCATTTGCAAATAACTCCAGTCAGTAACATCTGCAATTCAATTACAAGCAATGATTCTCCTGCCATTCACACAGATCATCTTGCTTTCCAATAAGTTCTTGGAAGATTTCTGTTCTTTTTGACCCAGTAATCAGTGATAATTTAACTGATAACAAAGAAGTTTCTTTAAGAGCAGGTACTGGCTTCATTCCTTCAGTAGGAGTCCACTCAAGAACCAAGGATGAAATCATCTTCTGTAGAAACTGTTAATTTGTCATCAAGTTATTCATGAGTTCAAGGGTCTGATTTTGTTTTTTGTTTTTCAAACACAGCAAAAAAGCTCTACACATTTAACTGTCCAGAATCATTCATATGGTCTGAGTATACAAGAACTAAATGACAAAACACTCAAAACTGCAAATCACATCATTCCCAAAAATACAGTAACTCTAAAATAAAGTATGTTTCCCAGTACAACTTATTCCTTGATTATATAAAGGTCTGTAAATGTTATACCCTGTTCTACTGCAATTTTTCTCTCCTAATCCCCACATAGTCTCAATACTCGTGTAATGCCTTGGCTTCTATCGAATTTAAAGCTGCTGTTCTTGGAGAACAGTGTGTGACATAAAAACCAGCTGTGTTTTTAGAGGCTGTCTAGAAGTAAAGAACTGGGTAATTTGAGGGCGATTCCTCGTAGGAACAGCTACATACTCTCTAGGAGCAGAAACAGAACCGTATTTCCTCACCACCAGCGCTTTTCTTAGCAGCCATAACCAGCTCATTACACACAGAAGTTACTTGTGGCCAATGCAACTTTAAAAATTGAATAGCTAAAAAAGTGCAGACTTGCTCTTTATGGTATGTGTGAGTCTTTGAACACCGTGTTGGCAGACCTTTCCAAGGTCTGTCACCTTTTGGCTGTTCCAGCTGCTAACAAGTTAAGAAATGTAACTACATAAGCAAGCCAATTTCATGGATATGGGGGGAAAAAAAAAATAAAATTGAGTGGCTCTATTGATGTTTCATACACAGCAATGTTTTGTTACTTGCTTCTGCTA